GTAAAAAAATAAAGGAATTATTACTAAATTTTTTGCGGTCAGAAGATGATTATGTCGAAGTCTCCCGTCTTATTAAGTTATTTAATACTTTAGGTTAGCCTCTCTTCGTAATCGTTATGTACATGCCTTGTTTTATGTTAGTTTAAATTCTATTTACTGTATTGTAGTGTCTTCACTGTTATTTAGTCCATCTATATATAAATCTTGTTTTGTAAATTGTGTTCAGCTCCCCCCGCCTCGATTAGTTCATAAGCTATTTGCGGGTGGGAAAGTAATGTAATTAGTTATTTTCCGATTTTCAATAAAATTTGTTGTTGTTGTTGTTGTTGCATGATACAGAACTGCTTTATTTTTTTCGATTGTAATTCATGTTTAACGTTCAAACTATCAACTGCATGCAGTACAACTCTTAACCGGTTGTACTAAATTCTATAAGTATAATCAAACTCGGTCGCAATCACGCAAATGAAATAGACACACACACGGAACACTTAGTTCAAAAACACAATGATTTGCTTTAATTAACGAAGAAAAAAAACAAGGGGACAAGAAATAAAAGCTAACAGAATCATTACACTTGACGGTAAAAATAGCATGAAGGTCGAATTATAAAATTAATCTCAGAAAACTTCGCGTAAACAAAATCACCGGCCGCCGAAACCATAAAGCGGCTCTAAATGAAAAACCTACCAACTCTCCGCAATGATTCTTCATTCGCAGTTCAATTTACCATTTCAGTTTTGAAGACAAAGGCAATTTTGCTGTTTAAGATAAAGATTAAGCTTATCGAAATGTTTGAACTAAACGAAAGAATGCCGGGGATGCGATCCGCTGAATATCAAGTGACAATCCCGCTAAAATTTTTCATAATTATACATAATTATGCGAATGTTTAGACAATCAACCAAACAAAATCACTACTCGGTTTTCGGGTAGTGAGTGACGTCACTGGACAGCATTAACGGCCGGTCGATTCAGACGTTGTTGAGAGGAGAAAACGACTCGAAGAAATCGGATGAATTTCAGGCTATTTCAACGCCAAATGCCTCGTGGAAGAAAATTCTGATCTAGTCTCGTGGAGAAGCCATCCGAGGCCAGCTTCAAGCAAGCCTTTCAGATCATTCACCTTTTAGGGCACAAATGAGCCCAAGGAAATTCGACTATTTTGGCAAAGACAGTCAATCGCTGTTTAAGTTGAGATCTCTGGAGTCCAGGCGATCTGACGCACGTCTCTGTATGCTGTACAAACAGAGTAATGGATAAGCCACTTACGAATGCGACAAGCTTCAGAGAGAACATAAGAGCAGAATGGACACCAGGCTCTCGTCTCTCAGTCATCGATTTGAACAGCCACGTTGTACATGTGATTATTATAAGAACTCTTTTTACCCTAGGACAACTGCACAGTGAAACAATCTCCCACCAGAAATTATAGCCTCTACTTCGCCATATTCATTTAGGCAATTCCTGTGTAATCTTACATATTGATTAATAATTTTATGTTATTGTTGTATTCATTGTTGTAATTTTTATTATTTGAAGCAGTCTGCAATACTCTGTTGAGAGTGAAGACTTAATTTTAATTGGTAAATAAGTTAACCAACAAAATCAACTAAAATTCTTCTTAACAACAGCGAACTTATACTATATTACATACCCTATTTATTTCAGGGTACCATACCATTTTGTCCAAAAGAGTAATTTGCAAGTCCAATGAACTGAATGAAAACTACTTATGCCCTCCTTTCGAGCCATCCAATACGCGCTGTGTTTTCTGCACTTCCCGGTTACTGGCAGCAGTGCTTTTATGATCTTTTCCAAACAGTTTAATACGTATGTCCAGGGCACGCTGATGATTTTGAAGAGATGCTTTGAAATCACCTAGTTCATGTTGTGTTATCCCCAGGGAGTAGTAACAGTCAGCCGTACTTTGGTGTTCTTCTCCAAACAGTTTAATACGTATGTCCAGCGAACGCTGTTATGACTGCAGAGCTGCTTTGTAATCACCTAGGTCCTGCTGTGTTATCCCCAGTGAGTAGTAACAGTCAGCCGTACTTTGGTGTTCTTCTCCAAACAGTTTAATACGTATGTCCAGCGCACGCTGGAAAGATTGAAGAGTTGCTTTGAAATCACCTAGGTAATGCTGTGTTATCCCCAGGGGGANACATAATTATGCGAATGTTTAGACAATCAACCAAACAAAATCACTACTCGGTTTTCGGGTAGTGAGTGACGTCACTGGACAGCATTAACGGCCGGTCGATTCAGACGTTGTTGAGAGGAGAAAACGACTCGAAGAAATCGGATGAATTTCAGGCTATTTCAACGCCAAATGCCTCGTGGAAGAAAATTCTGATCTAGTCTCGTGGAGAAGCCATCCGAGGCCAGCTTCAAGCAAGCCTTTCAGATCATTCACCTTTTAGGGCACAAATGAGCCCAAGGAAATTCGACTATTTTGGCAAAGACAGTCAATCGCTGTTTAAGTTGAGATCTCTGGAGTCCAGGCGATCTGACGCACGTCTCTGTATGCTGTACAAACAGAGTAATGGATAAGCCACTTACGAATGCGACAAGCTTCAGAGAGAACATAAGAGCAGAATGGACACCAGGCTCTCGTCTCTCAGTCATCGATTTGAACAGCCACGTTGTACATGTGATTATTATAAGAACTCTTTTTACCCTAGGACAACTGCACAGTGAAACAATCTCCCACCAGAAATTATAGCCTCTACTTCGCCATATTCATTTAGGCAATTCCTGTGTAATCTTACATATTGATTAATAATTTTATGTTATTGTTGTATTCATTGTTGTAATTTTTATTATTTGAAGCAGTCTGCAATACTCTGTTGAGAGTGAAGACTTAATTTTAATTGGTAAATAAGTTAACCAACAAAATCAACTAAAATTCTTCTTAACAACAGCGAACTTATACTATATTACATACCCTATTTATTTCAGGGTACCATACCATTTTGTCCAAAAGAGTAATTTGCAAGTCCAATGAACTGAATGAAAACTACTTATGCCCTCCTTTCGAGCCATCCAATACGCGCTGTGTTTTCTGCACTTCCCGGTTACTGGCAGCAGTGCTTTTATGATCTTTTCCAAACAGTTTAATACGTATGTCCAGGGCACGCTGATGATTTTGAAGAGATGCTTTGAAATCACCTAGTTCATGTTGTGTTATCCCCAGGGAGTAGTAACAGTCAGCCGTACTTTGGTGTTCTTCTCCAAACAGTTTAATACGTATGTCCAGCGAACGCTGTTATGACTGCAGAGCTGCTTTGTAATCACCTAGGTCCTGCTGTGTTATCCCCAGTGAGTAGTAACAGTCAGCCGTACTTTGGTGTTCTTCTCCAAACAGTTTAATACGTATGTCCAGCGCACGCTGGAAAGATTGAAGAGTTGCTTTGAAATCACCTAGGTAATGCTGTGTTATCCCCAGGGGGAAGTAACAGTCAGCCGTACTTTGGTGTTCTTCTCCAAACAGTTTAATACGTATGTCCAGTGCACGCTGGTAAGATTGAAGAGCAGCTTTGAAGTCACCTAGTTTATGCTGTGTTATCCCCAGTGAGTGGTAACAGTCAGCCGTACTTTGGTGTTCTTTTCCAAACAGTTTAATACGTATGTCCAGTGCACGCTGGCAAGATTGAAGAGCTGCTTTGAAATCACCTAGGTAATGCTGTGTTATCCCCAGTGAGTGGTAACAGTCAGCAGTACTTTGGTGTTCTTTTCCAAACAGTTTAATACTTATGTCCAGCGCACGCTGGCAAGATTGAAGAGCTGCTTTGAAATCACCTAGTTTACGCTGTGTTGTCCCCAGTGAGTGGTAACAGTCAGCCGTACTTTGGTGTTCTTCTCCAAACAGTTTAATACTTATGTCCAGCGCACGCTGGTAAAATTGAAGAGCTGCTTTGAAATCAGCTAGTTCATGCTGTGTTTTCCCTAGTGAGTAGTAACAGTTAGCAGTACTTTGGTGTTCTTCTCCAAACAGTTTAATACATATCTCCAGCGAACGCTGTTTTGACTGCAGAGCTGCTTTGAAATAACCCAGGTCATGCTGTGTTATCCCCAAGGAGAAGTAACAGTCAGCCGTACTTTGGCGTTCTTCTCCAAACAGTTTAATACGTATGTCCAGCGCACGCTGGTGAGATTGAAGAGCTGCTTTGAAATCACCTAGTTTATGCTGTGTTAACCCCAGTGAGTAGTAACAGTCAGCAGTACTTTGGTGTTCTCCAAACAGTTTAATACCTATGTCCAGCGCACGCTGGTAAGATTGAAGAGCTGCTTTGAAATCACCTAGGTAATGCTGTGTTATCCCCAGTGAGTAGTAACAGTCAGCAGTACTTGGGTGTTCTTTTCCAAACAGTTTAATACGTATGTCCAGCGCACGCTGGAAAGATTGAAGAGCTGCTTTGAAATCACCTAGCTTATGCTGTGTTATCCCCAGTGAGTAGTAACAGTCAGCAGTACTTTGGCTTTCCTCTAACAGTTTAATACGTATATCAAGCGAACGCTGGTAGAATTGAAGTGCTGATTTGAAATCCTGTTGCTTATGTTTCTCGGTTCCAAGTTTATAGAGGTTATTAGCAACACTAGACTGATTCTCTACAGGACCAGAAAAAGAAAAAATATTAGATAGATTAGATAGATGTGTAGATGTGTAGATGTGTGTCTAATACGGTGACCGGAAGTAGTTTTTTTCCCGCCACGTGTCGATGCCTGAAGTTAAGATATCACGACAGCGGCGAAAAATATAGCTTTTTTATAAAACGTGAATTCGCATTCTTTCTGGATTTTTCGCGATTATTGCAAGTCGCGTACTTTTTCAAATGTAGGCAAACTCATATCCAAGTTCAGAAAGGGAAAAGAGTTTATCATCGTTTGTTGACGACACGTCCGAAAAAACAAGAAATTAGGAATTTTCACGTGGAGGTAACGCACTGATGGCAAAAAAATGTAGAAGAAACACTAAGATGCATGTACAAAGTTGATGATTTGGAACCTGAATTTCAGACGATTACTTAGTTACTGAGGGAGTGAAAAGGACTCGAAGAAATCGTCTGAAATTCAGGCTAGATGATTTGCTAATTAAACCTATTTTCTTGCCGTACCACGTTTCCCGAACACGTAGGGGATCGTGGCGAGTCGTAGTGTCGAGTACATTAAGTAGTTAGTTGCGTTTTACATGCATGATTAGAACATACACCAGTGTACATTTGACGCAGAATTGAAAGATACACGCATTTTATCCTTTTTTGGTCATCCTTAGATAGTTGAGAAGCCTTTTATTATTATTATTATTATTATTATTATTATTATTATGTTTGTTTATTTATTTATTTTCATGAGCTCCAAATTCGGAGTCAGGCACGACAACCAAGTGAAAAATACAGTCAATATGCAGGGACGTAGCTAGGGGGGGGGAGTCCTGGGGTGCCCAGGACCCCCCCTTGGTAGGCCTTCTTTTGAGCAAACAACCTACAATATTCAGGTGGCGAAAACGCCATGACAATCACTTGGCCGTAAAAGCCATTGTTGAAAAGCCCACTTTTTAAATTTTTTTTTTGTAAAGTATTTTCGTCAACGGCTCTTGTCTTTAGTTAATATGGGCCCTCATGCCGTGATAATACGACTGAGCCTCCCTCTGTGACCCCCCCGCCCCCTTTTGAAAAATCCTGGCTACGCCCCTGAATACACAAAATACAGTTGACGGGAAAGAAAGTATTTGATAATAGGGAGCTAAAGCAACGACAACGGCTTGTTGCGTTGGTTAGAACTGTCGAACACCGAACGTTCTTTTGAAGGCCTGAAAGACCTAATTGTGAAAGAACAGTTTATTGACTCTTGTCCAAAAGAGTTCAGCTATTCACCTTCGTGAAAGAGCCCCGGAAACGTTTGTTCAGATCGCGAAGATTGCCGAGCAATACTTAAAAGCACACGGAAACCATCCGTTGAGCGCTGCGTGCAAGAAGCTACAAGTACAGCCCAAGGCGGAGGAAACAAAGACTGCATAGAGTGACACAACAACCCTCCAGTGTTACAAGTGTAATGCCCTCGAACACAAAGCTATTAACTGCCCAACTCTAGCTAAAAGGTGTTTCCTGTGTGACAAGCAAGGTCATCAAGCGAGGAACTGTCGATCTGGTGGACGAAAGTCGGGAGGCCAAGGTCAGGATTGTAACCCTGTGCAACGTGGTCACGATAGTGCTGGATGTATGCTTAAGTCACCCTATCTTAACGCTTCCCCCGAGGAAGTCAAGTCGTGTATTTAAAATGATCAGCTTCTGTTAGCCTGAGGCAAGAAAGTCCCGTTGCTGAGTGATGCATGTGTTGAACCCTTAACTGGAGTAAGAAATAAGATTCCTTGTTGTAAAGGGCAGAAAAAAGACTGTTGACGTTTTAAGAGATACTGGTTGCAGCGGAGTTGTAGTCAAGAAGGACCTTGTCGGCGAGGATCAGTTCACCGGAGACTTTAATGTTATGTTGCTATTGACAACGCAGCGAGGAAGGTGCCTATAGCAAGCATTTATGTTGATACACCTTTTCTTAAGGGCCATTTAGAAGCGCAGTGCCTTTCAGATCCTATTTACGACCTAATTATTGGCAACGTACCTGATGCCAGGGACGCACAAAATCCAGACCCCAGTTGGCAAGAGGCCTGTGCAGTAATTACAAGAGTCAAGCTAAGAAAAAGGATGAAAGCATGGCCTTGAAGGTACCAATTAGCCGTGAGAGCCCTATTGTGGATAGAGAGATGCTCAAGCAGATGCAGCGTGAAGATGAGAGTCTGAGCAAGTACTGGGACCGAGAAGATGTACTAGTAAAGGATCAGGCAGCGATTTCATTTGAAGAAAAATGTAGAGTACTGCACCGTCTGTACAAGCACCCTTATGTGAATGGTGGTAATTAAGAGGCTTAAAAAACAAGTTATGTTACCTGAAAAGTTGAGGCGCCCCATAATGGAGGTAGCTCACGGATCGATCATTGCCTGGGTGGTCACAAGGGCATAACGAAAACAACAGACAAGATCCAGAGTGCGTTTTATTGGCCTGGAATTCAAGGTGACGTGACTCGATTTTGCAAGTCCTGTGACGTTCGTCAGAAGACTGTAAGAAAAGGATCAGTGCCGAAGGTACCGTTAGAGAAGATGCCGCTAATTGACAAACCCTTTAAAAGAGTAGCAAAAGATCTTTTTGGCCCTATCAGTCCTCTGAGTGAAGAAGGACACAGGTACATACTGACGCTGGTAGATTTTTCGACTCGCTACCCTGAGGCTGTAGTGAATTGGAGAAAGCCCAGCAGAAAGGACAGCACTATTACGACCGCAAGTCTAAAGTTAGGAAGTTTCAACCAGGTGGGAAAGTGCTTTTGCTGAGACCATAAAAAGTTACTTATGCAATGCAAAGGTCCCTTTGAAGTTAGTTCAGTGGTAGGTCTCAATGACTACAAGGTGAAAGTTAAAGGCAAGGAGAAAGTTTACCACGCTAACCTACTTAAAAAGTATTTTGAGAGAGAGGAAACTACAGTCGAAGGAGCAGTAGGTGTTGGGGCAGGCGCTACAAGTACGAGCGTTGTTGTCGACTGCGCAGCTAACGTTGATGAAACACAGGGCCGGGAGGAGAGGTTGATTTCTTAGAGCTCGGTGGATATGTAGCCAAGGAGTCAATCGAGGATGCTGCAACTGGACCAAATCTTACGGGAGGAGCAACGGACTGGATTTACGGATCTGTCTAAACAGTTCTTGAATTTGTTTACTGAAGCACCAGGCACCACAGATCTCGTTCAGCCACTACTTTACAGCATGAGAGAATCACTGAGAAACGATATTGCTAACATGATCAAAATGGGAGTTATTAGAGAGTCCAGTTCACCTTATGCTTCACCTGTTGTAGCAGTGAAGAAAAGAGATAACACAAACCACGTGTGTGTTGATTATCGGAAATTAAATAAACTAACTCTATTTGATCCTGAGCCTATGCCAACTGCCGAACATTTGTTCCAGAAGCTTAGTGGAGACAAGTTTTGTTCAAAAATTGATCTCAGCAAGGGATACTGGCAGATAACTATACCAGAGGAGGACATACCGAAAATTGCGTTTGTAACACCTGACGAGTCGAACGAGTTCTTGAAGATGCCTTTCAGTGGAATGATTAACTCGGCGGCAACACTGAAGCGTGCAATAAAGAAATTGAAAGAAGATTTAGGTGATGTCGCCTGCTACTGGAATGATATATTGCTTCAGACACGCACGTGGGAAGAACATATCAGAGCCCTAAGAGAGCTGTTTTCGCGCCTTGTACAAGCTGGGTTGACTATCAGACCTACGGAGTAAACAGTGTGGATTTCCTAGGCTATCGACTGGAGCAAGGAATGATTGGTCTACATCAGGATAACGTGGAGAAGATTGAAGATGCCCCAAGGCCAAGCACAAAGAAACAGTGCGGTCATTTATGGGTCTTGCAGGATATTACAGTGATTTCATTCCCAACTTTGCAGCGATCGCAGCGCCCTTATCTGATCTTACACGAAAAGGCCAATCCAATAAAGTTGAGTGGGGTGAAGCACAAGAGAAAGCCTATCACACAATCAAGTCCCACCTAACAAGTGAGCCTATTCTGCACTTCCCCGATCCAGCTAAAACCTATTTCTTACGGATGGACGCTTCCAACAATGGAATTGGTGCAGTATTGATGCAAAGGCACGATGAAAAACTATTCCCGGTTTGTTACGCAAGAAAGAAATTGTCGGAAGGGAACTATTCTACAATTGAGAAAGAGTGCTTAGCGGTAGTCTGGGGTATCAAGAGATTTCATCTTTATTTGTACGGAGTTCCCTTTGTTCTGCAGACGGACCATGAACCCTTAAAGTATATGAACAGTGCTAAGTTTGCAAACGGACGTCTTATGCGTTGTGCTGTGCTTTTGCAAAGTTACATTCAGAGTTGAAGCCATTAAAAGCTCAGAGAACGTCGGAGCAGATTACTTGAGTCGAGCTGAGGAATAAGTTTAGTCACCTTGAACTGCCCCTCATTTAGCAAAATTAAGAGCTCAGAGAACGTCGGAGCAGATTACTTGAGTCGAGCTGAGGAATAAGTTTAGTCACCTTGAACTGCCCCTCATTTAGCAATTTTTCTTGTTTAGTTGAAATTTACAATATTTCTTCTAAAAGGGGATTATGTTACGAAAAATTGTACTGCGTGCCTTTTAAACGTGACATTCCAGAGACTTCGCGAGAGTTCATAGTTTGTTTATTTTAGGATAATTTGTAAGCTTTTCTAAAGCAGTATATTTTGTAATCTTTCCATAATTAGATTATTTAGAAAGTTCTAGAATCTTATTGTGAAAGTATACAAGTAGGCGAGTCCTAGCGAAGGTTTAACTAGAAAGTTTTCCAAGCGAAGAGAGTTTGACGTTAGTCTTGTTTATAAATTTATCGAGTTACCTGCTGTTGTAGAGTTTTACTTCGTGGAAACTACGTTAATTTTTTGGAATACACTAAATCTGGAGTGCAAAGAAGTCCGTGGTCAGTTGTGGTCAACCTTGATTTTCCCATAGATTTTCTGTAATTCGACAGTATCAAAATTACAGAAAATGTATGGAAAAATTGAAGTCTTCTAAAAACTGATCACGGACTTCTTTGCACTCCAGATTTAGTGTATTGTTTCTTTGAACTCGTAAGTTACTCTTTTCAAAGAGAAAGCTTCAAATATATGAATTCAGGAACAAATAGCAAGCTTTGAATTCTACTACAAATCTTCTAATTTCCTGCCATCTTGCCCTGATTGCCCATGATGCAACTATGAGCGTGAACTCCTCTATTTGACGAATTAAACGAGATGGAATGAGCGCGGTAAAATTTGAGGCATTGCAAATTCACCATCGCCGTCGTCATTGCTTAAGCTCCCTAATATCTCACCTAGTGGTGCAAATAGAGCTGGTAAATCACAATCAAATCCTGAATTTGCCCCTGCATCGCGTTTTTCTAGAAATGTTTTAATGATGATACAAGTATACGGACAAGAGAGGGATATTTTTTTCTTCACGTACATTTTTTAATCTGCCTTGGAATTTCATGTAAGTTAGCGGGAATAGATATATATTATTTTATTTATATATTAATATTCAACACAAATGAAGAATGTCAGTGCTTTTACAACTCGTTTCCACCTGTATTTCGACCGAATACATACATCCTTGCGATTTCAAATCACGCGTATGATTTCAGACTAAATTGCACTCCACTCAGTTCAATTAGCATATTATAAATACCACTCGTGATATTTCAATTGTCTCAAATTTCACTCGCCTAACGGCTCGTCAAATTACGTACAACAATTTCGAAATATGACTCGCGATATTTATGCCAAATATCACTACAAATCATGCTATTATTTGTTTGTACTACTACCCCCAGAAGGTTTGTAATTTTCACATGTAGGTATTTCAAATTAAGCTGAAACACCACTGCTCTAAGCCAATCAAATTGCAGAAATTTCTCATGTAGTAGTATAACAGACCAAATTGTAATCCATAATAATAATAATTGTTTTCGAAAATTAAGTATCCCCGTTAAACATCAGTACGTGCATTTAGGATTCATGATTACGGTCTTTATACTGCTACATGAGAAATTACTGCAATTTGATTGGCTTAGAGTTGTGGTATTTCAGCTTAATTTGAAATACCTACATGTAAAAATTACAAACCTTTTGCGAGTAGTAGGGATATTTGGCGTAAATACCACTCATGATATTTCAAAATTGTCTCAAATTTCACCCGCCTAACGGCTCGTGAAATTTACAACTGAATTTAACGTATAACAATTTTGAAATATCACTACAAATCATGCTATTACCTATACAAATACCTACTTGAAGGATTCAAGAAGAGCTCACGACAAGCTTTGTATTCCTCTTCGTTAATAGTTGTTGTGAGTTTTACTTCAGCTAGGCCAAATTCCTTGAGAATTTCTTCTGTTACAAGAAATTTTTGTGCCACTTCATTTAGGTGACCTGTGCAATAGTCTTCCCAGAGTTCGTCAAGGATCTGAAGAGAGCTACATTCCAGTATGAGTATTAAAATTCCATTGTGAACATCCACAATAATGACTTTACGCACCTCTTTCATGTACTGAATAAATTTATCAAACTCGTCAGGTGTTGATGGTTTGAGTTCCTGTAAGTAGTTTGATGCAATTGAATTTAAAACTTCCTGTGAAGAAGGAACAGCTCCCCTCCTGACACTTTCTTGATCTAAACCTGCAGCTGCTGTTCCTTCGACCACTCCTCGGGGTCCATTAGGTGCTTGTCCCTCTTTTTGCACTGTCTGTGCTTCCTGCTGAGTTACTATTCCCCCTGTAGCTCCTCCCTGAGGACAAAGCCCTTTGATTTCCGCACAATCAATCAGCAGACGAAGACGAGCTGTTGATAATGATAATATAAGTAAACTCAGTCTACTGAATTAAAACAAAACAATCCAGTAGTTTGGTCTATTCTGTAAAAATGGCTTAACACGTAAAAAGGCAATCAGTCAAAAAGTAAAACCAAGTGCCTCTGGAAAGCCAAACGTGTTACGAATTCCACGATAACTAGCACGACTTTTACCTGCAGTTGCCCAAAAATGCAAAAGTAAGTACAGTGAAGCGTAGTAAATGTCACCTTTATGGGATAAAAAAGTTCATGCTATGCCTTTTAAAAACATAGGAGCTAAGTCAACTCTCTCTGACTATCGATCTATAGAAGATCATCCCTATCACCCTGATCAGTTCTGTGCTCAACTGCACACTATTAAAAAATTTCTAACAGGTTGTCAGATTGATTGCTTCTCTCATCACCACTGACCAGGCTTAAACAGGTTCGCAGCATCTTGGTAGGAAAATTGTGAAGAAAAAAAAGGAGTCCCTTGAGTGATCGGCAGTGAACTAGATTGTCGTATCAACAGGCTGAATGCAGGTCACTTACTTGGCAAGGTTCACCATGTCTTCATTGCGTAAATGCATATAGCGAAAAGTTTAATTAATCGGGGGAGGTAAAAATAACACATCATATATGACGTCATGATAGATCAGTGCCAAAACTGCCTTGATTGGGCCCGCTTTAACCATTTTGTAGACGCACAACTTGAAATGGAGCTGGAAGATGTGGGAAAATCAGCATGCATGTTTCAGAAAAGAGACTGGAGAGGGAAACAAGGTCGGCAGCTTATAAAGCCACTTTTAAACGGAGATAAAAAGGTCTGAGGGTCCATAGTGAGAGCCCTGTTGTTGCATTCTAACACCGGCTTTCCGTAGGGACAGGTAGGAGAGAACCCTGGGAACGAGGTTGTCAAGGGTTTAATAGCGAAGCTCCTCGCGCGCGAGCGTAGCCACATAGCTAAGAAAATTTGGTAAACTATCCATGCGAGAAAATTTGGTTATGACGTCAGCGTTCGTCTGTACGGACTCTCCAGGTAGTGGAAAGTAATCCGCACGGACCCTTGGGGTAGGGGAAAGCAGAGATTTATTTGGCGGGAAATCGCATAGGGCAAAGTTCCTTACGGGCTCTCCGGGTAGCTAGGGGAAAGAAGGGATTTTTTTGGGCGGGAAATCGCATGGCTAACGTCGCCTAGCGTACGGACTCTTTGGGTAGGGGAAAGTAGAGTTTTTTGGCGGGAAATCGAAAGGCCAACGTTGCGCAATTATAGTAGTTACGAAAGGTATTTTATAACATAACACAAGTAAATCGCGCGCTCTGATTGGTCAGTCAGCCACTACCGTTTGCCCGTGGGTGCACGCCAAGAAACTGAGCTAGCGCGGTAAAATTTAGGCAAATTCAACAAATCTCCTCTCCTGACGGTAAAATACACCAATGAAATGCACAGATGAAAAGTGGAAGTTGAAGAAAATACTAAGCTGTCGTTTTGAAGGAAAAAAGACAAAAGATCAAGCGACAAATTTGCCCTGGATGAATGAATCACTGTTTTCCTCGCGGCTAGAATCTGCTGAAAGAAAATCGAGCGAGCGAAGATTTAAGGTACATTTTGTGTGTTTTTTTGTAGAAGAGAAAGTCTGTTTGGAAAGGAAAATTATCAATTAGCATTGTGTTATTGACTTTTTGGTCAAGCTGATGCTAAATTCAAGCAAATATTTTAGGAAACACGCTCAAATTCGAGACAGCTTTGTTGTGAAGTTTTCATCGCATCGATTAAAAATTTTAGTTGAGTTTAAACGGGCACATAACGCTGGAATAAGCGAATTTCATTTGAGTACAGAAACATTTGGGTTTTCAAATAAATTTTTCAAAAAATAACTTCTGTGTGTATTATTTTGTTCCTCAGTGTTCATTCATAACAGTCGTTCGGAGAACGGTCGAAAAACAACAGCTTCAGCGCCGGCTGTGTGTCGGCGAATTTCAGTTTCAACTTTCACTTTCATAGCGGATTTCCCCAGACAGATTTCGATACAAAGCTAGTTAATTTCTCTTTTTAAAATTAGTGTTACCTGTTATTCTAAAGGAATTACAGTCAAATTTTCTCATTTCTACTTTGCGTTTATTTCAAAAATTGTCACATAAATAAGCTTGATAATTATTTCATTTATTTAGTTTTAGCTTATTTTTTAGAGTCCTTTTAGTTGGTGTTTATAGTTGCAGCTATAGTTTTCCCTCAAAGTTTTTACCCTAATATTAAGAGCAAGTAGACAGATGCCATTCAGAATAACAACGAAAAACGTTTTGCAATTTACCTGAGGACGGAGAACGGTTGATTCAGCGAAAGAAAAACTCAAAGGCAAGTTTTTGAAAAACATAGAACATGATTTGTTTACGCGCGGGCAGATGTCACCATACATGAACTCGGACCGATGACTCAACTGAAGGCAAATGGAAAATAATGTTTTTCTCTTTTGATTATGTTATAAAAGAAATGGTAAACGTTGCAGCTGTGCAACCATGGAGTTATGGATGCACTTGGGAGGTTTGCTAAGCACTCAAAAAGCTAGAGTCGCACTCGGCTATCGCCTCGTGCGACTCTTACGCTTCTTTCGTGCTTAGCAACCTCCCGCGTGCATCCATAACTCCATGGTTGCACGCTGCACGTTTACCATTTCTTAAATGTCAACAAACAACAGCAGAGATAATGTAGCGTGTAGGGAATAGGTTTTAGGCGAAGGGCAAGCCTGCCACTCAGGCTAAGAGAAAGAGAACGGCAGAGAGCAAGAGTCAACAGGTGTAGAGCAATCAACGAAGAAAATCGCCAAAGAGAGCGCTTTAGGGGTAGAAGAAGGAGACAAAATTGTAGTGAGCGAAGAAGGTTGGCAATTAGAAAGACACAGGGCAAGAAAGAACAGAGAAATTGTAGTGAAGAGCGCCGAGAAGCAGAACGAGCCAGGGTTAGAACAAACAGAGAAATTTTCAGCGAAGAACGTTGGCAAGCAGAACGAGAAAGAGCTAGAATGAATAGACAAGGCAACGCGAAAGAGAAATACAATGGGAAAGAGAACGCCAGTAAAAAATAATGACATGATGACAGAAGGTGAGGATTATTTTTTTGTCACAGCCGGTGTTGTCAAAATTCTATCCTAGCAGCAGGTTACCTCTTTGGCTTTCGTTACTTTGAGGGGACCGTCGCCCCGTTTGTAGAGGAAAAAAACTTATTGAATGCTAGAACATAATGATGAGTTTTGGACAGTATACGCCAAATGTAAAGAATCGAGAACGAGAAAATACATGAATCTTGTTTACTTATTTAAGCTTATTGTATTATTCTTACTTGAATCTACAGTAAAAAAAAATTAAGCTTACTAATAAGCTTAATTCTCCCGACTGAGATAAGTTGTGCTTATGAGCCAGCGACCAGACTTCGGACGCTGTAACCGTGTGAAGCTTGCACTGCGTTCGCTTACTCACCATCCAAGGAACTACAGTCTTCGTTTTTTGTAATCGGAGGGGTTTGAAGCGAGTTGGACGATTCAGCTGCCGCCCTTTGAACTTGCGACATAGCTATAAATGGCTTTCACTTTTTAATAATAGCGATCTAATTCCGATATAGGAAAACATCAGTGGTTTAGGAAGGAGTTATAGTTTTGGAATTTAACGTTCATTTATATTATTATTGGAGGTTTAATTTTATGATGTTCACTGTGACTTACCTGACATATATGGAGTACCAGCGTCATCTTGCAGTACGATCTTCAGCTCATCCATTTTTCGCGACAACATGACGACGTCTTCTTTGTCTGCAATATCGCTTTCCATTTTTTTTTTCAAATCTAAAATATCAAAATTCACACTCTCAAGAAACTTTATATACGATTTATTTTCTTCTTTGATAGCTTGCTCAAGTCTGCGAACTTCACTTATGGGAAAGTCTGACTCTAATAAACTACCAACGGCATCAATGGGAGCCGTCGAGACACCCAGCGCTTGGAAAGCGTCTTTGGCCTGTTGCACGTACTGGTCAAAAGTTACTTTCATCATCTCAGAACTGGTTGAGTGGCAAACAGAATTCCTCAGAAGGCGTAACTAATCAATTGCTAGTGCCCAGGTTTCCGTATTGTTTCCAGTGGTGCTCACTAAGGACGAGTGAAAATGGCCATGTGATAATCCACGAGGCTTAACATACACGTCATTTAGGGTCCCGTGATGCGAGGCTAAGGTTCGCGAGTAGATAGTGGCCTGGAACAAAGCAGTGCAATCCCATTCGTTATACGATCGATTAACAGGAACTTTGGTTTTGCCTCCTTCTGTAGTGGAAAACAAATTTCTCACGGCAGTGGAATCATCCCAGAGCTGGAAACCAGGGCGATGTCCATAGGTGTTGTCCCACATGGTTTTAAATGTCTGTCTCAGGACGTTTGGAAATTCATTTAATACAAGAGACGCGAATTTGAAAAAATTTAAATCCTCGTCTCGGTAAGGCTGCAGAGCCATCCCAGCGTAGAATTAAATTTGCTGTTAAAATAAAGAATAATGTTAGCGAAAATTTATATTTTAATATGGAAACCATTTCCTTGAATCCGGATCATTGATAGTAATTCAGATCGAAGTTTAAGAGCCTGATTTGGTAAAGCAGCTGCATCCATTTTGAAAATTCTCTTTTTTTCTGAAATGCCAGGAGGGTTTAAGTGTTTTCTATAAAAGCTGATAGCCGTGCGGTTTGACAGTGTTAACTAGTTTAAATGAGGATATGATCGTCGCACTGGTAACTGCAATTTAAGTAATTGCAAATTAACCCGAAAGACATTGTAGGACTTCAAGGGGATCCAAACCCATGGCCTCTCCGTTGGCGCTGCAGTGCTCTAGCGATTGAGCTATGAAGACCCATACATTGGGTGCAGGCCAATTTGTCGAGCTCATCTTAACCCGTGAAAGAAATGAAACACGAAGATGATATGAACTGTGGAAATACAAATTTAAATGAAGATATGATTGTCGCAGTGGTAATTGCAAATTCACCAGAAAAAAAATTCGGGACTTCAACGGGATTCGAATCCATGGACTCTGCGTTTAAGCGCTGCAGTACGCTGCAGTGCTCTACCATTTGAGCTATGAAGAGCCATACATTGAAAGCAGGCCAATTTGTTGCGTTCATTTTAACCCGTTTTAAACTATTTTTACTTCATGTTCTTAGGTTTTTTTAGTGTTTTTTTTTTTCAGAAAATAGTTTCTTAAAAAAATTTTCCCAAAATTACGATGTTTTTAGGTTTTTCTAAATATTTGTATATACATAATTCACTTTTTATCCTGTTTTGTATTTTTTAGTTTGTCGAGCGTTTTTAACATGAGCCTCTGGCTCGGAAGATTGTGTAAACATTTCCCACGTCTTCGACATTAAATAAATCATTCATTCATTCATTCAAACACGAAGATGATGTGAGCTGCGGAAATCACTACAAATTTAAATGAAGATATGAGCTTCGCTGCCGTAATTGCAATTTAAGTAATTGCAAATTGTAATCGCAGTGCTAACGCAGAGGCCATGGGTTCGAATCCCGTTGAAATCCCGAAATTTTTTCGGGTTAATTTGCAATAGCTTAAATTGCAATTACCACTGCGACGATCATATCTTCATTTAACTTCGTACTTCTACAGTCCACATCATCTTAAGTGTTAACTATTGTTTACGGACTGACAGAGGTCCTTAACTAAGCATAAATAAGACTGGTTCTAGAATGGACCCTTGTGACACAACCACGAAGAGCGGGAAAGGCCGGGAGTAGCCAATGCAAGTTACTTAAAAATTAAGTAATGAATAATAAGCATTAAATAAGTTATGATAACTTCATGTTTACTATCAGTGGCATGGTGTTTTTGGAGTACAGTTATTGCCTATACTTAATTTTGGATATCATTATACATCCAGTCCCATTTTAATCCTCTCCAAAACCACTCTGCACAACACTTTGCGTGCCACGTTAAGTAGCGCGATGTCATGCCATTATTTGAAGCGGCCCAGGTCGCCAAACGAACGCGGGAGACGTCATAACATCAATGAAGATTTTTACATTGTTGTTTTGCGTTTCTTTTACGTCGAGAGATAAAAAAGACTGGCAGCATAGATTTCTTCGAACTTTGTGTCATATACTTATAAATAATATCAATATCAAATAGACTAATTTTTCCACACCACCTGAAAAGATTAGTCTAACTTTTTAAAGTTCTATAGGAGAGCTTACAAGCAGGAATCTCCCACGCAACCGTTCTTGCCTCGTCACGATTGACAACAACGACTGCGTCAGAGGGAGGAGAACCTCTTTCCTCGCCCGACTCCTCTCGCCGGCTTTGCCGGCTTGTGCTGACGGCTCCTCCGCCAAAAATGTTCCCTGCACTCGCACAAAGTTAGCCTGCTCGCAAGCTGAAGTTAGGGTCATTGAACAGTACGCATTGTAACATCACAGATTTTACACTATTGCACAACACGGATTTCTAATTGACCTTTGTTCAACTCCACCAGCCATATGCATTTTTTTCAGTCGACCGTGGACTTGGCTTTTTATTATTCCATTATCCCCAAACCTTTTGTCACAACAGCATGTAAGTTCAATTCAAGTCGAAAATTTTCGTTATTCTTTACCCATTCTTCCTCTTCAGCCCTTGCTAAGCCTAAATTTTGCAATCCATACTTTTACTGTCTTCGTCCACGGAGAAATACAATCCTACAAATTATCAACGCGGTATTTTTAGGGTATTTTAGGAACGTTATCATTATATNAATGAAGATTTTTACATTGTTGTTTTGCGTTTCTTTTACGTCGAGAGATAAAAAAGACTGGCAGCATAGATTTCTTCGAACTTTGTGTCATATACTTATAAATAATATCAATATCAAATAGACTAATTTTTCCACACCACCTGAAAAGATTAGTCTAACTTTTTAAAGTTCTATAGGAGAGCTTACAAGCAGGAATCTCCCACGCAACCGTTCTTGCCTCGTCACGATTGACAACAACGACTGCGTCAGAGGGAGGAGAACCTCTTTCCTCGCCCGACTCCTCTCGCCGGCTTTGCCGGCTTGTGCTGACGGCTCCTCCGCCAAAAATGTTCCCTGCACTCGCACAAAGTTAGCCTGCTCGCAAGCTGAAGTTAGGGTCATTGAACAGTACGCATTGTAACATCACAGATTTTACACTATTGCACAACACGGATTTCTAATTGACCTTTGTTCAACTCCACCAGCCATATGCATTTTTTTCAGTCGACCGTGGACTTGGCTTTTTATTATTCCATTATCCCCAAACCTTTTGTCACAACAGCATGTAAGTTCAATTCAAGTCGAAAATTTTCGTTATTCTTTACCCATTCTTCCTCTTCAGCCCTTGCTAAGCCTAAATTTTGCAATCCATACTTTTACTGTCTTCGTCCACGGAGAAATACAATCCTACAAATTATCAACGCGGTATTTTTAGGGTATTTTAGGAACGTTATCATTATATCTTTTTGTTTGTGTCTATTTCTCGAACAAAACACTTTCCCTTTTGAGAAATTAAACACAATTTAACTTTTTCTTTCCAAAACTTTGGCAAACTGATTAGAAATGATATTAAACTTAAACAACGTCATATTCAGAATACCTACAATGAATTCCATTATCTGTATCATTAAGGGCATCACAATAAAGATGTGATAATACTTTTTCTTCAAAGTTAAGAAATAAGGTAAAGGATAGAAGGCAGGATATGCTAACTCGTCAAAAAGGAAAAGAACTACTGCTTGCTGAAAATCAGCGAATTGTTGGAGCAGGCAGAAAGTCCATCTGCCATGATGGTTAAAATTAGATTCCACGGTTGGTTGAGTAAGCGAACAACCTCAGCTTAACTAACTTAAAACCCATTTACGGCGGTCATATGGAATAAAGGGCTTTCCAGTTCCAAATTATAAGATGTCCTGTGATTTTTTGCGTGTGTTTGGAAAGGGAACTCGATTGAACTCACCCAGTAGTAGACAATTAACCCAAAGGAATCAGTAGAGCGAGATAAAATCACGGTGCCTACATCGCATAAAATAGCATTCGGCAAACTGACGATCATACAAAAATATATCACAAAATTACCTCGATTCCTGAAACTCCTGCTACTTTCAAGGACACAGTGATTAGAACAGGTCATAAGAGAACTGGAAATCTCTCAACTTTCTAGGTTATACTTCGAGAACGACATCTGAAAACGAAAGTCGACTACCGTAACCTTAGCTTCCGCTAAAAACACCCCTCCCCCCAGCTTGTAAACCCCCCCCCAGTAATAGTCCCATCTACCTGTAAGCAAAAAAATCCACCCTTGTGGCGGATCCAGGGGAGGGGCCCGGCCCCCCCTTATTTTCAGACCGAAATGAGACCCGAAGGGCCGAAAAAAATTTTTTTGAGACTGGGTCCCTGGTTATCTTAGGGTCTGGATGACCGCCCCCCCTCCCCCACCCTTATCTGAAGGTCTGGATGCGCCAATACATCCGGCTATAACCTCCCCGACCCCACTCTAGCTCGTACTGAAACGAATTCTATTCTATATTATTTACGACATTTTCCCCCATTTAAAGCCCTCCTAAAGCCCCTTACGAAGTTGTATAAGCCAAGGCCTTTATAAGAGGAAGTTTACGGTATACAACCCTATCATATTATAGGGCATCAGCATCCAATCAGAGCAGGGGGATTAGAAAGGGACAAAAGACTCTAATTCAATGAAAAACAGGAAATGAAAACTGAAAAACCTACCCTGGGTGTCTGAGGTTTTTTGTCGCGTGCGGCGTAGCCCCAGTTANCCCCCCAGCTTGTAAACCCCCCCCCAGTAATAGTCCCATCTACCTGTAAGCAAAAAAATCCACCCTTGTGGCGGATCCAGGGGAGGGGCCCGGCCCCCCCTTATTTTCAGACCGAAATGAGACCCGAAGGGCCGAAAAAAATTTTTTTGAGACTGGGTCCCTGGTTATCTTAGGGTCTGGATGACCGCCCCCCCTCCCCCACCCTTATCTGAAGGTCTGGATGCGCC